TGTGTAAATAAACATTGGTTTTATGGAAACTCTCTTTTCAGCAAAACCAAACCTACATAATATACTGAATTTCTCACCACTCAGAGAACTGATGTGGAAATTTGAACAGTGGGAATAAAATACAAATCTTTATCTATGTGGGAGCCTCAGGGACCACCAAACTCATAATTTTAAATCCCAGGGACCACTAACTGGTTCTGTGGGCATGGCCTAATTTGTGGGTGTGACTTGGTGGCATGTGACTGGCTGGGCATGGCTCGTATGTAAATATTATGAATATTTATATAAATATTGAATTTTTTATAAGATAAGAGCAACTTTTACTCAAAATCAGGCAAAGCAGGCAGGCAGATTGAGTTGCTCACAGAATCACAGATTCATTCAGAAATCTATCTATCTGCCATCGACTAGCTCAGTCTGTCACATAAAATTTGTTTGCAAGCAAACTCATAAAAGTTACTTGCAAGCAAACTCACAAAATTAACTCACAACACACCATGTATGTAAATATTGATTTTTTTATTTAAAAAAACAGCAACTTTTACCCAAAATCATGCAAAGCAGGCAGGCAGATTGAGTTGCTCACAGAATCATTCAGTGATCTATCTGCCTGCCATCGGCTAGCTCATCTCTCAAATTTTCTTGTCGTGAGTCTGCACTGAATAATAGAACCTTCAGTCCTAAGGGAGGTTTGGCTGTGCTTAAAAGCAGAGCCAAAGATCTAAAGAGTAGCTAGAAAGGAAGAAATCCAACCATTTCCTGCTTCCTAGCTAATCTAAATCTCCTGGCACAGCAAAATCTCCCACAGCAGAACAGATGATGGTTGGAAAAAAGAAAAACAGGAATTTAGCAGGCAAGTTTACAGGGTAAGGAGTGAGTGAGCGGAGAGGGTTCCTGCAGGCCACGTGGGTGGTGCAGCCTTGTGTTTCTGTGCAGCCTGGATTAATTGCTTTGGGGGTGTGCTCTGGGGATGAGATTTCTCTGTGGCCCACCAAAATTTTCTCATGGCCCATCGGTTGGTGACCGCTGGTTTAGCCTGTTTCCATTTTCTTACTGATAAACAACTTCCATATTATTGTGACCAATGAAGAGAAGTACAAAACAGTAATTTAGCGCAAACATGGTTGCACTGATGTAATGCTGGATGAGAATTTATGGGTATTTTTTGCATATTGACAAATATTTCCCTCTATATTTATTTGTTAAAAATGATACTTGATTCACTAACCTTAGATAATTTAGGGATAAAAACATGTAAACCTTACCTATCAAGCTATGAAATTCATGTCATTGCTATATAATAATCAGATTAATTATGTAAATAAATACACTGATGATGAACTTAAATTATGGCTTTTAATTGTGCTTTAATTCAGACTTCCTTTATTAAAGGTTATTTAATGCTTTGCTGCCATTCATTGTCTGCTTTACTCAACAAACATATTTAAGATGCTCTATCAAATAATAAATTGTTTAGCCAGTAGAAATGATGGTTTTCATTAAGTATCTTTATAGATCCCATTTTTAAAATGGTTAAATCAATAGACTCAGAGCACAGGTGCATTTTATATATTGCAGGACGCAGAACTAACCTTCACAATTCATTGATGCATGTATCTTTTCAAGATATATATTGATAATCTCCATGGTTTGCATTTTTAGAAGTATTCTTAAAAAACAATAGCGTTCCTAAAAAGATAATGGCTCAGTTCAGATATAACCATTTTGTCTCATAAATCTACAGTGGTACCTTGGCGCCCAACTACTGTGAAACTCATTGAATTTGGTATTCAATTCATTTTGATGTGAAAATTTTCTCCTGATACTCAGCGTTTGTTTGGTACTTAATGCACAAGTTAGAACTTACGTGTTGGTATCCACTGCCTTGTGACTCATTACATTTTTCCTTATGGGAAAAAAATTGTTTGATACTCATCACTTTTGGTACTCAATGCATCTCCTGAAACCAATTTAATGATGAGTGTCAAGGTACCACTGTAATTCAATTTGGACTAAGATCTAACATTTGCAAATGTTCTCCTTCTTTTACATTCACCTTTATATAAAATGTACAGGTTGGTTAATTTATAGTTCCTTGTTAGACATAAAGTCAGAAGCTGTAGTATAAGTGTCAACTCCAGACCCAACTTTCAGATCAGGACCAAACTGTCATTCATTTTAAATATTCATTTTTCAAATCAGACTTAGCGGTATCACATTTTCATATTTTACTGGTTGAAAGATTCAGTTTCTATCCTTAAATGCCAGATATGAAGCAGCATTATCCATATGCCTACATGTACAAAACTCCGCCTGTTTTGCCCAGTGTACACAGCTGATTTGAAGTATAACTAAACTCCAATAGAAAAAAAGATTTGGTTAACAAGAGGACACTATCATGATTTGCTTAAGCACGCCATGTTGAAATAACTGATAATTTGTACTTAGAGATGTAAAAGTTGTTGGTTATGATCATAACAATCCATATTTATGGTTCTGTGTGAACCAGTAAAATTCTTGATTGATGATTCATGCATATTGTTTTCTGAAAATAATCTGCATTACCCTATCATTTCTTTCCTGTATTTTGTTCTTGGCAACCCTTTTTCAGTTGTCAATCATGAAGCTTTAGTGGTAGGAAAAATTCTCAGCTTTATACCTTACATTACTCTCATACAGAAACTAGATTTTTCTAAACTCATCTTTCAGAAGCTAATTTTTGTTGCTGGAAACATTAACAATATTCCCCCCAGAGCAGTGGCACTGACTGCAACCTGTTTACCAAGAGCCTGAGGCAAAAGGAAGATTGAGACCTCAACTCAGTTGCATTACTTGCCAACTATAATATATGTAATGATGTTGCATATGCATGGCTATCTTTTCCTCATCAGAGCATGGCACTGCAGTTCTAGCATGTTCTTTTGTTGGGTTTAAGATTGTTTGCTATATAACTTATTATATGAAATGCTTGAATAGTGTTTCTTAAACACACAAATATGTTCACTCTGAAAGTTTTCTTTGAAAGAAAAATAAAATGCCGTACATGAAAATGAATTCAAGTTAATGCAAAAGAGACCCGGGTTGGCATAGTGATTAAAATGCTAGCCTGGAAACCATGAAGCTGTGAGTTCTAATCCTACCTTAGGCATGAAAGCTGATTGGCTGATTTTGGGCCAGTCACTCACTCAGCCCAACCCACCTGAGGTTGTTGTGGGGAAAATAGGAGAAGAGAGCAGTACTATGCATGTTTGTGGCTTTGAGTTATTTATATAAAATAAAGGCAGGAGATAGACAAGAGAACATAGCACTAATCAAAATTACAACATTCTGATAAGTGTATACAAATGAGGGCTGTTTTGAAGGCCTATTGGAATCCTATGTTGTAAATATAGATTCAAGCTATGTAAATACCTTGTAGCTACACATGCTGTACTCTTCCTCAGCAGTAAGGGAAAATTCAAAGTGTCTTATACAGGCAAAGCATTCACTATATCCTTTGAGCAGAGTTTCTTTGTATTCCAAGCCGTGGGCTACTGGAGACTTCGATGATTAAAGATCAAAGCTCCTTGCATGTTGTTGTAGACCTTCTCAATCTATACCTGAGAATAGGCATAGGCAATACTTTGATTCCAAGCAGTATTTCAGATCTGTTTTTATAGGGGCCAAGCATGCCTTTCCTTTTCATCTTTTTGAGACAGGAAAATGGTTTCAGATCCAATGTGAATTTGAATTAATGGCCGTCCAAGCTATTTCTGGCTGTTCCGCAGAGTCTAACTCAAGGCTATCTTTTTTTCTCTTCCATTTGGGCAAGATGTGAAGAAGCATCGCCTATAGGAAGAATTTGACTCCCCCCCCTTCCCCATGCATGTATGACAAAGAGTGTTCCATGGTCATGCTCCTGGCTGTTACCCAATTCTTTGCCTTTGTGGTAGAGACTGTGTTTGCATGACACACAGGACACAAACAACTAAATTATGTTTTAGCTATGCAAATCCAGTCTATTTGATTATTGCATAGTTCCCCATGTCATTGTTATCCCAGACAAGTGGGAAAACCAAGGAGAAACCATGATTTATTTAATCATAAGTGCGTATGTCACATAAACATGGCCTGAGTTAATGTCATGGCCATAGCTCTGTCACACAGCTGTCAGTTGCCCACACTCTTCCGTTGCCTTTGCTCTTTACCAGCATTTCTAAGGATGCTATGGAGATCACTGACATTTCTATGATATGATTGTATTTTCTGAGTGAAATACTTTCCCCTTCTAGACTGAGCTCCCTTTAAAAACAACACCCATTTCACCCCTATTGTATCTCTAAACCTGGAATGTGCTTCTACCCATTTTGAAAGATAAGAAATGTATTGGCAATGTTTCAGTATGCATTTATATTCATGTCCACTAATCACTATTGCTAACCGAATAAGGGATGGTGTTACCTTTAAGCAGACATAACACGAACTATTTTAAAAAGTATAACATCTACATCTGCAAATTCTTCGAATGGCTGCAAGGATCACATTTTTTATTCTGGTAAACTTTCAGCAATTGTCATTTTGGAAAGAAAACCTATTCCCTTTCAGTGGAGTTTAAACTGGCACAATCTCCATACATTAGGGACGTCGTCCTAATGGATATCCTTAAACGAGAAACAACCCAAGAGGTTTCATACAATTTCTACAGACGTATGATAGGGGATTTTCACGTGTTGAGAAAAGCCATATGAAAGCAATGACCGGATAGTTAACCGAATAGAACCTCAGAGGTGCAACGTTGAGAGACGCCCACATGCTGGCAACACCTTTAAAAACAAAAACAAAAAAACCCCACCCCTCCCATCCAACATTGAGTTCAGCAGCCAAGGACGGTGTGTGATTTCGGGGCGTGGCCTCGCACTCACCTTGGTTTACGGAACAATGAGACGGGCGTTGCTATGGGCGGGGTTACAAGCTTTCCATCTCTCTGAGAGGAAGGTAGAAGGGCTACTACGAAAGGAAGCAATGCGGATTAGCCCGGAATCGAATTATGATCCCAGCATAGACAGACGCTTCCTTGTTTTTCACCTGGGATCCCACCTGAAAGGGCTGGGCAGAGCAGCTTCGGATGCCCTTCGTTTGTAAACAGGTGGGGCTGCTCCGGGATTGTCTGCGACTTACTTGACGGAGGCGGCTCACTACCACGTTAGAGCCTGGCGGTTGCAGCTCGCATAGTGGCTGTTTCGTTTCATAGATGGTCCTTTTCTTTTCCTACCACCCCCGCCTCCTCCTCCTCCTCTCCCTCGGAGGCTGGTTCTGCTGCTCATGACGTGCCTCTCTCGCTGAGCTCCCAGCCCTCCCGCCTACCAGCTCACTCCCTGCTGCTGCAGCTTATTACTATTTGCTCTCCCCCCCCTTCCCACCACCGCTTTCCGAGGAGGGGGACGATTATTATTTTGGCCCCCTTACGCCTAGAGAGCAGAGTGCGTGTGTGTGTGTGGGGAAAACCCGAGGGAAGCAAGGCGCTGCATTGTTCTACCCCGCCTCCATTTATTTTCTTTTTGCAATTTATTTATTTTTTTTAATTGGAAGGAGGCTCGGGAGCAGCCTCTGATTGTCCTCGCCAGATGAACCTCTCCTCGGCCAGCGATACGTCTTGACTCCGGAGGGGGCAAAAACAGAAAGAGGAAAAAAGGTTAGCCATGCATGGCGTCGATTCCTCCCCTCTCATCCCCCCTCCCCGAAGGGACCCCCCCCCCCCCACTTCCCCGTGACACCTCCTGCCTTGGGGCTTTTCCCCCTTTTCCTCTCACTTCGACCGCCTTCCCACCGCGTCCGACGGGGCTAAGCTCGGTAGACGCCCCAACCGTGCGGCGCCGCTGTCTCGCCGGAGCTCGCAAGGCTGCGAGATCACGTGGAGGGTTCTCGGTGGAGTTCGCCGTTCGCAGGCTGCGCGGGGACGGGGAAGGGGGGGCGCGGGAGAAGGGGGAGGGGTCTGCCTCGCGCCTCCCCCTCCCCATTTCCGAAATCCGACTTCTCCGTTCCAGCCCCCCACTTCCCTCCCCCCCCCGCAACGTCGTTCTCTTGATTCTCCCTGCGATTGTTCGCGATTCCGATATTCCTCCCGCTCTTCATCTCACTTCGCCTTCGCCTTGCGCGGCGCCCCCCCCCCCCGCATATTCCTCCCTTTTACCCCGAGAGAGGGGTGTGTTTCTTTCTTTCCTCCGGGCGTCGAATCAGCGCTCTTGCTCCCCTCGCGTCTCCGGCCTCCATTGGCTGCCGGTTGTTAGAAATGGGGGTGGGGGTGGGGGAAAGGGAATCGCGGCCAGACAATTCAGGTGTTTGCTTGAGCCCTGTTGATCCTTAGTACCTTTTGTTTTTAAAGTCTGCTTGAACTTCTCTCTCCTCCCCGCCCCCTCCCCCGTCCCGGTTCCTTGACAATCGAAACGCTGTCGTTCTCTCCTCCTCCCGGTTCGAATTCGTCTTTTTCTAGCCTCTAAACCTGGAGGCTTTTTAGGCAGGGGTTGGAGTAGCCGAAAGGCAAATTGGCCTGGAAAGAGAGAGAGAGAGAGACAGAGAGAGAGAGAAAGCGCGCCAGCTGTTTGGTGGCTTCAGTGAGTTTTCTCTCAGAAAGTCGTGCAGAGGGCAAATCGCGCCTTGTTCCTGCAGCTGCATCTTCTCTGGGGTTGCCCAACAGTTTTTCTTTTCCAAATCTTCGAAAGGTGCGGAGCTGTGCTCAATTTTCATTGTTCAAAAAGAAACGAAAAAAAAAAAAAACCAACCCCAAAGAAACCCTCCCTTTCTCCCGTGTTTGATGCGAGGCCGGTCTTGACAACTCAAGAGCGTGAAGTCGATGAGGAGAGAGAGGTTTGATGCTGATGCGTGAAAAAGGTTGTAAAAGAGTCCCGCGGTTTCTCCAGGGCTTGACTTTGCTAAGATGTGAGCTTACAGCTTTTCGTTGAGCCGAAGAAAAGAGAGGCGGCTCCACGGGGGCCACCTCGTTGGGCGGGATAGCTGTGTATGTATCTCTTCCTTGTGTTTTGGGATAGTCGGGCAGGTGTTGAGCGGCGGGTGGCTTCCAGGTTGATTAGCGTTGGAAGCGAATTCCTCGTTTTCTGTAGCTGAGAGAGGAAGAGATGTGAACTGGCTGCCACGCCCAAATTTCAGGCACTTTGGCGGTCGTGGTGGGCAGCTGTGATCTGTCCCAGAGCTTTCAGCCTCGTTCTCGATTAATCATCCCATTTTTGGAACCGAACACGTTTTTTCTAAGGTTGGATGTTTTTAGTTGGACGTTTGTATACTTTTTGATGGATAGCTACGGTTCATTCTGAGAAATTGTGTGGTCCCTTTAAATGGTCACCCTCCTCTGACAGCTTGGCTATAACACGGGTTGTAATGTGTGTTAAATATTAACAGCCCTGGGAGGCTCTTTTGGTTGTAAAATCCTTAAAGGAAAAGCTTGCTTGGATAAAGGAGGAACACTTAAGATTAATGAAGATTAGAGTAACATTAAGATAACCTAAGATTGCTTATTCTGATGTAATTCCCTGTTGAATTCATGTTCTTTTCAATAAGATTGCAGCCTTAAATTGAAATCCTAGGGACCCTTGTGAGAAAAATTCTATTGTACTTAATATTTCTCGTTATACATATGCATAGAATTATTTCTTTTAATGATTTGCTCTAGTGATGTAGAAGCCAGGGTCTATTGGTGATATTTAAGGTTCTGATTTTTGTAGAATTATGGAAGGAAGAGAGGACAGGAAAAGTGCCAGCTCCTGTCCACTAAAACAAAAAATTGCTGACTCCTTTGCTTCAGCCTCTGTTCCATATAAAGCAGAGATACAGTTGGAAATCTTGCTTTGATATGTGAGTTGATGAAGGCAATACCACCAGATGAGCTCTAGTAGATTACTCACTGTGTTACAGGAGAGAACACATTTTGAGGCTTGTGCTGTGGGAAGAAAGAAAATGGTAAGTTGCTTAGGAAATGGCAATTCATGCCTTCCTCCCTTCCTGTTGCATTTTGCTGTTTGAAGCACCAGAGGCTCCATCTTGTATCTAGGAGCTTATTGAACTCTAGATGATCTCCATTTATTTTATTGGAGAGACCTAAATCTCTGAGCCCTCAGACAGAAATTAGAATTTTCTGTAGCATGTATTTGTGAATGTATTCTTAATTATTTCTCCTGTAAATGTTTTTTATTTTTTAATGGATATTGTGCAAGAAGTTTCTTTAAAAAATACCTCTTATTGATGCAATTCATGATATAGAGGAAAGAATGAATGAAACCTACAAAAGATCAGCAAGGGAATTGCGTCACTGGCATTCGCTATCATGAAAAGTGGCCAGGTGGAAAATGAGTTGTGAATTGTGGATGTGTTTTAGAATGCCTGAAGTTTATGTAAAAAGAGTAAAGAAAAGCATGTAAATAGAGTAAAGGAAAACATTAATTCTAGGGTGTCTCTGAGCTTGGTTGTTTTCTTGCAAACGTTTCATTATCCAAACTAAATAACATCATCAGTGCTAATATGCTAGGTATGTATGTGCATATATATGTGCAGGAAATTAGCTGTGGTATTGCTGAACTGAAATTGTACTTTGATCCTTGTTTCAGCATAACACATTAACACAAGGCCTGCTGATTTTCAGAAGTTTAGCTTGCATCAGTGATTAAATAAAGAATATTGAGAGTAATGTTGAGAACATAATTGCCTTATATTCTTTTTCCTGTTGGTTTCTTCAATACAATCATACATCAAAATCTGGATTCTGGTGATAGTTCTGTGGATTCCTGAGAAATGTATGTTTGATTATCATAGGCAAATACTCTGAAGTTCCTCCTTTAACATTTATTTTTACAAAACATTTGTTTTTTTTATTATATAATATGGATTGAAATATACATTTAAAACATTTTCCTTGCTGTATACTTTCTAAGCATTCACCCACATTTATTACAGCATACGATGAAAGATTAAAGGCAGGCATGTCTTTTTAAATCCCATTTCTTTAACTAGTTACCTTCCCTTTTTATCGAGTTCCATACTCCGTGCTTTTTGCAACTTTGTTTGCTATAGGTGTATGGATTATGTTTAATTATGATTAAAGTATCTTCACTCTAGGTGTGTGTGTTTGTTTTAATGTAAGGATATGATGGTCTTAGTTTTGATTCTGTAGTAGAAAGATACAGATTTAAATATCTGAGTTCTGGCTAATTGGAAGACAATATGTCACCTTTATTAATTTAGGCTGGAATCTTATGCACACTTGTACTAAACAACACATCTTAATAGCTACATATTAAAGATACAACCATACATGAAAAATATGCAGCAGAGTTTTTGTGACATTTTTTACAGGTAACTGCCCCAAAACTATTTTTTCATGCACTGTCTTGCCTGTAGGAAAATGTCTCCTTTTTCCAACTAAGTAGGAAACTTCCTCTTAGAGATATGAGTGATATATTGGGTTTCAGCATCATTTATTTGTGAACTGCTACAATTTGCAATTTTATTATTGATCTGAGTGGGCATTTGGGTGTGGCTTGATTGCTTTTGATGTACTTGCTGGCTTTGTCTTTGATTTCTCATTTTCCTTTCATGTGCATGAGCTTATTTTAAGACTTATAAAAGGCTTTTTTTAAAGAAAAAAAGATATGCATTGCCAATCTCATTAAGAGTTATGCATTCACTTGTAAATGGTGCCCAACGTGACTTTGATATTACTGAATACACTGATCACACGGCACATTTCCTTTTTTCATTTTCTGAGATCTAATAGTTACTATCCCATCTCTTCTCTGCTTCAGATGGTGTACACTAATATTGCTTTGCAAGAAGGATTTATTGTTACTCTTTTTGTAGCAACAACTTCTTTGGTCTTTAGAACAGCTAAAGATTAACTGCCTGAGTGAAGAATACAATTTGGTTATAGTTTGCAGGTTCAGAAGTAGACATTTTATTGTTTTTTTCTACTTGCCATTGGTAATCTGGAGGCAGAGTATTTGTTTGTAGACACACCTCTGGAGGTGCATTGCTTTTAGTTTGAGGTATGATTCTTAGCCTAGTATTGTTGGATAAAGACAGACCTTGGTGGTAGTTTTTCATTATACAGGCCTGTTCTGAAAGAGCCTCCCCCAGTCAGTAGGTGCTGAGATGTCAGACTATATAGCTTCTGCTGTACTTAATAAGCAGGTTTGTTAGCTGCATTGGGTGGAAACAATAGAAGCTGTAGTACAAAACATCTGGAGTATCCTACCTGTCACTCCTAATTCCTGTATAGCAATGTTTTTGGGCAACATACAAATACATCTATTTTAAAACTCAATATATAAACCACCTAGATTCTCAGAAATCTTCCCAATGCATTTTTTTTTCCTTGTTCTGGTCATTGCAAAAAAAAAAAGGGGGGGGGCATTTGGAGAGCTGTTTCATGTATGGAATTCTGTCCCTGGTTGCCTTCACTGCTTTTGTTGTGAATGAAGAATAGAAGCTGCTGCAGTAAGCACTACTTGTGCTTTCTCTTCCCCAGAGATTTATATTTCCATGTAGTGTGCGTGTGCTTCCCTTTTGCCTTCTTTGTCAGTGGGACTATTGATGGCAGCAAAATATTTCTCAGCTCTGCCTGCAATTGCTGGGTTCCATTTATTGCTTTAACAGCAAGTTTGGATAGTAATGGAGGCATTAAATCAG